TCCGGGCTCCTGAAGCAGCTCGTAGCGCTCGATGCCGTTGCGGCCAAAGTCGCGGTCAGTGGCGGTGGGCAGCAGGTAAAGTGTGCCCACCGGCCGGTTCTCCTCCACCGTGAGCGTGAGCACGGGCGACGGGAAGGTGGGCGTGTTGTCGTTGATGTCGAGCACGATGACCCGACCCTCAAACAGGTCTACCCAGCTCTGCGAGGGCCCGATCACCGACACCTCGAAGTCCAGGAAGCACTCGTTCTCGTCGAAGATCATCTGACACTGGGGCAGCTTCTCGCGGTCGATGCGCCTCTCGCTGGTGCTCAGCTCGCCCGTGAGGTTGTCGATCTTAAGGTACTCGGAGCCGGACTCCAGGCTGAAAGTCACCTCACCCGATCCGGTCACGATGCCCAGGTCTGAAGCCACGTTGCCGATGCGGACGTCGGCGGGGCCCTCCTCCGCCAGTCGGTACCGGAGGAGCTGCTTGGCGGCCGCCAGGCTGAGCGAGAGCGGCAGGAGGAGGCAACAGCCCAAGCACCAGCCGCGCGCCCATCCCGCGGTCCGCATCCTCAGCATCTTCTCCTGCTGCTGCTGCTACTGCTCCTTCTAACCACAGCCCCCTCCGGCGCCCCCCTCCTCCGGGGCCGGCCGCTTGCCCTCCTCCCAGTCCTCTCCCCTCTCCCGGAAAGGAAGGAGCGAGAGAGAGGGGAGGGAGGGGGCAAAAGCGGCGTGGAGAGTCGGCCGGGAATGAAGGTGGGAGGGCAGCGATAGATGCTTTTTTTTCCCTCCTGCTTCTTCCGAAAGTTATTGTTTCATAATTCATGCAATGGGTGCTAATCGCCCGCTTGCCGGCCGCCGTTCAGTCGCAGTACTCACAGTTCACGGGACACTGCGCGCCGCGGGTTCGGCGCCCCCCCACCCAGAGTCATCCCCGCAGCGGGCGGAGAATCCCCGGCTCTCGTCCCCGCTCTGTCGGAAGGGGCCAGAACTGCTCCGGCAGACGGGCAGTGGGGCTGGGAAGAGGTGGAGAACGAGCTTGCAGCCTCCCCCGCCTGCCAGCCCGCCGGTCTTTGCTGCTACTCGAGTTGAGTCCAATTCACGTTCCAGACACTCACTCCAAACCCAGGCTCTGCTCCGACTCCGGCCGCCCAGGCAAACGTGAGTCGCTTCCTGCACCAGGCGCTGGGGCCAGCAACAAGCCAGTCTCAACTCCGACTCTGCTCAGGCAGCGGGGGAGCCAGTCAACAGATAGAGAACGAAAAATCCCCCGGCACGTCGCTTCGGGCACGGTGCAGTGGAGACTACTCGCCTCACAGCGCAGTCCGCGTCCGGGTCCCCCCGGCGCGCCAAAGAGAAGCCCGAGCCATCTTCAGAGACGCCCAGAGAGTCAGTCCCTTCTCACCCCGGAGAGCGCGGGTTTCTCTTTTTTCTTAACAACTCTGCGCAAGGTCATTAGTCACGAAGCCGCCGCCTGAAACCGCAGCAGCCTTTCGCCCGCGGGGGCGAAGGCTGAGCCGTGCGCACCGTGCGGTGCCCAAGTTTGGGTTCGCAGCCGCAGAGTCCGTGCCTTTTCTCACCTGCATTCGGCCCGCATGTCGGAGCAGTGGGATCTGCAGCGCTGTGCGCGATTCAGGGAGGAGATTGCAGCCTCTCTCTCTCTCTCCCCGCTCTCTCTCGATCCCTCCCCTCCCTCCCTCCCTTTCTCTCTCCTCCCTCCTCTCTCTCCTCCCTCCTCTCCTTTCCCCTTTCCCCCTCTCCCACTCGCTCTCTTGCACGCTCTCTCTCCTTCCTCTTAGTCCCAATGCAGGGAACTCGAGCTGAACTTGATCCCTTTGCAGTTCAAAGGTGAGCAAACCAGGCTCGGAGCACAGGCGACGTTAGCCGGCGAAAGCGCACGGCTGGGCGTCCCCAACGGCAATTAACAAAGATGCCCAATTCTGTCTGGATTTCCGAAGAAAAGCCAAAGGCTTTGGGGCGGGGGTGGAAGGGGAGGTGGAGTCAGAGACAGCTGCCAAGTAGCTTTAAAAAAAAAAAAAAAAAATCCAGTTTGCCAAGGGGAGAAAAAGTGCCAGTCGTTTGTGGCCTCGGAAGTGCCCTGGCACGGCTGGTGAATTCCGCAGTTGTCTCGTCCCTTTCGCGTCTGGGAGAGTCTGGTGCGGGCGCTCCCGCCGCCACTCAGGCTGCAGCGGCTCGGAGACACTGAACCGCTAGTAGGAAGCTCCCGTTCGCTACCCGCGAGCAGGAAACCCGCAAGTTGCCCAAAGTGGTGGTTGCTGCTGGGAGCTCGCTGGCTCACGGATCAGGCTTGTCCCTGACGCTGCTGCTGCAGCGGCGGCGGCAGTAGCTGCCCAGCCGCCGAAACTACACACAGGGAGAGAGCGAGGGAGGAGGGCCCGGGGTAAGGAGGCGGGAGGGAGCGTCAGCCAGCCTCTGCGCTCGGGAAAGCCCAGCCTCAGCTCCAGGGGCCGCTCAAAGTGTGCCCAATCCCAGCCAGACCTCTTTAAGCCAAAGCTCAATGCCCCCCAGCGAGTACCTCCGTCTTCTTCTCTGGGGGACTTGTTTTCCCTCCCTCGGGCTGGTAAATTTCCTCCTCCCTTAACTAATGCCCAGTTCACGCGTGAGAGCTTTTCGAGCTGTGTCAGGATAGATTTCTCCTTCTCCCTCTCTCTCAGACGACGTCCTCCCCCCACCCCCTCCACTCGGAAAGTGTCTCCGGTTCGCGATTTAGCATCTTGGTTAGGACATGGTTATCGGGGTCTTGGGGAACACACAAGAGCCCAGAAAGCCACTCTGTTCTGAAAAACCATGACGGGCTGCAGTAGTGAAGAGAGAACATCAAACTCCAGAG